AGTAAGAAAGTCCACGAGAGTAAAACCGGCAATATGGGCTGATGACAACATCTGACCCTGCAAAGAATCGAACCAGAGACATCGAAGGTACCGGTAGAAGGCTAGAGCAGAACCACTGCCAACCAATAGCTGCCCAAGAAAATGACACCTGTTTACTGCTAACCAATAGTTGCCCAAGAAAATGACACCTGTTTACTGCTAACCAATAGTTGCCCAAGAAAATGACACCTGTTCACTGCCAACCCCTACCGTAGCTGCCCAAGAAAATGACACCTGTTTACTGCTAACCAATAGTTGCCAAAGAAAATGACACCTGTTTACTGCCAACCAATAGCTGCCAAAGATAATGACACCTGTTTAAATATGGCATGAATTCCAGATTCCCACCTAGCCAAAAAGTAACTTCTGAAACCTATTAGATTCTCTAGAATCTGTATCTGTATCTGTCATAGTCACTCCAAACTGTTTCAAACACTGAATTTTTCCATGACCTTAATTCAAATCTTCGGAATAATTTAGTTTAGTTTCAGTTAGGACCACTGGAATCAAATGTGTGTGAGCTACTTTGAACTCCCTAACAGTAGCTTCTTAGGTCACCCTACTTTGTGCCCCACCCACCCTATCTCATCTCAAGACGTACTGGATGATGAGATTTATCACATCCAAGCCTGACTCTATCATCCATTAGTGTCTTGTGTTTTTGTGCTGTCTTCTTAGAGTCTCTTAGCACAAAGACTTGACCTGGATAATTTGAGGGGGGGGGAACACCAGGTTTGGGGCCTCGGTGAGATGACTCGGTTTTGGCTAATTGGTTAGATGGTTTGGCCGCATAATGTCGCGGCATGAGGGGTCATTATTCATGTAACCTGCGATGAAGTGCAAAGTTGGATGCCAATAATGAGAAGTCAGTTAATCAATGCGGATGTGGTTTGGTTCGCGCTAGAATTTGTTTCAGGCTACCTGAAAAATTGCGTTTGCAGCGGGACTTCCCTATGAGCATAACTTGTTTAAATTATCTTATACTTCAAAACTGTAATTTCTTTTCAGTTTTAAGCTTTAAGAAAAACGTAGAATAAGAACGAAAGAACCCACTAACATTGTGTTTTGCAGGGTAGGGTCTATACTTTATATTTGCTTAAAGGCACTGCTTAAATATAATACCTGCTTCTTTTGCTCCATACATGAATAAACTTTTTAAGGTTAAAACACCTTTCAAAAGTTCTTCTTTCAAAACCTGAACCCAGGAGAAATTCTGACAAAAAAATTCCTGAGAAATCTCACACAAGTATCGACTTATTTTTGGTCAAATTTTACTGGATAAAGCCATCAATTTGTACATCTTCTTTCTTTCCCAACCAATTAAGAAAAATCAGCTTTGAGAAACCTTGGCCCTTACAGATCTCCATTTTATTGCTTAAGGTCCAGATGGTATTTAAAAAAAAAGGTTTATAAATTGCGAAAGAAAGGCGGGCTGAGTTTGTGGCTATAAGGCTTTGTAATCAAAGAAGCCAATACTTAATCGAATTAAATTGCACTTTATGTAATTAATACGTGTGTTAAAGAGCACAAACACTTGCATCATAACATGTAACCTAATTATTTCTTCCTTTTTGGCAGTTTTGGTTCAAACACCCAGTGGCATGAATATTTCACAGGGACTTTTTAGAGTCCGCGCTTCTAATATTTAGCTAGTACTCTCCCTGCACCTGTTCACTCAATCCAATTGAACCGTCTTCGGAGTGCTTTCCCGTCAGACGGGAGACGCTTTCCCATCATGCCCCTGGGCCTCCAGACAAACATCAGGAAAGTACCGTCTGCTTAGACTGGTAATCTTAACTACACGGGCAAAATTCTCAAAGCTCCTGAAATTGTTTTGGTTTCTGCGCACCGTGACGGTTCAACATTTCCGGTAGTGCGATTAGCCAACTTCTCTCAAGTGCATACATGGATGCAAGAAACGTTCAGGTTTAGTTCAGAGGTCAGGTCCATGTCAGAGGTCATAAGGACAATGATATGCACTAGTCGTTCTCTGACTCTTCATCTGAATTTGGCATTAAGAAAGTGTTAAGACTGTCTCCATCGTTCAGCATCCACAACGTGACATGAGAAATGACTCTCACACTTTAGCTTATTGCATCGTCTGCTTGGTCGTCTGATGCGGATGCCAGCCGCATCTTGATTAAGAGACTTTGGTAAACGAGGCTACGGAGCGCCAGTTAACGTATTAACTACTTATCAAGGTGTTGTCAAGCTCCGTTATTTCAGAATATTTAAGTATGTAAATGATTTCTAAAATTAAATACATGAACGCTTTCCTTTATGTTACAATTTCACACTTTTAGTTACAGCTCACGTTCCAACTGCTACATGTACATGTAATACTTGGTTCTGAAGTTAAACACCAGGTTGAAGACTTGAATCCATGTCCATGATTGCGTATGCTTCATTAGTAATCCAGCGACAGAGGCGTTATTAAATTCTCGACACATGCATCCCGGTCTCAAATGATCTAAGAAGGGCGGACGAGTCTTAGTGTCGCCAAGACTGATGATCCAGTTCACTTCAGACCGCCATCCTTCAAGATTCATCTTTAGTTGAAAGTAAGTGCATCTTACAAGACATCCCATGGTATACATTATCTTGTACACGTAATTGTGATGCATTAAATCAAAATTGTACATTCATGTACATGTACTGCATTATGCAACTTTCACCCCAATAACATACCATGCACCTAGGCCCCCAGACATTCATGTACTCCCATATGGAAGTATTTCAGAGTTTAGTAATGAAAAATTCCCCTGGGCTAAAACCCTCTTTCCATTAACGGACGCGTGATATTAGATTAGTTTTCTCAGACGGTATTAGTTAGACGGATGCCGGGGGAAATCATCCAGACAAAATATGAAGAAAAATAATAATAATTCCTTCCGCATTTGCAGTGTTTAAAGATAACCTAGGAAAGAGATGACTTTTTGCACATAAAATACAAATTTAGTCTCACTAGATTAACTTTCAAGCAAACCAATACAATTTCCACAAGCTAAAAACATTTTCTAAATAAATATAATGGAAAGCAGGTATGTGATCTCCTTTAGATAAGGTTTTCCTTGGGGGTAAAAAACATCTTCTTTCAATTACATCTTCTTCATTATTGTACAGTGGTTCTGCCGTTGGCATTTGGATGCATGGGTCATATTCTTATTAAGAAGACATCCTGACCCGTGTGAGGCACTCACAGTACATGTACCGGTGGCAGACTGCCTATTTGTAAACAAGGGCAGATCAGAACACATTTTTTTTGGGGGGGGGGGGGGGGGGGGCAAAAGAAGTGTTTTTGATCTCCAAAAATGTTCTGCTCCAAATTTAATATGAAAAGCAAAGGTGGCGCAATTTTAAGGCTGTATGCAGTGGCTGCCTTTTTTACGACGTCACTTTTTTGTGTCTTCCCCCCCCCCCCCCGATCCGTTGTTGTTTGTAAATGTCATATGCAAATGTAGTTTGCAAATGTACGTGTCTAATGCAAATTACATTTTTGTTATCAATGTACATGGGTATACATGGGTATACATCTAGATACATTATTCCAAAATGTTACCTTGCTTAGATTTTTTAAGTTGTCAAATGTTTTTACACTTGGGTAAACATGTTACATTTCATGAAAAAAAATTATTTTAAGGAAAATATCCTGCTAGCGGGCAAGAAATGCTTTTTGGTAAAAATCTGCATTGAAATAAGTCGTGGGAGTCTGTAACATGAAATCATATGAACAGGTCTACATTTGAATTGCATGAATTCACCATGACATTGTAGGCTGTGCAACAGCTCTACTTTATTATTTACAAAAAAAACCCAGAAATATAATGGCCAAGTAAAGGCCAGTATCGTGCGATGCAGCTTAGAGGAAACACAAGTGATACGTTACCATAGCAATAGTAACCAGCGATATGTACAAGTATAATGTACAATGTCTAGAAGATGATCCTATTTATAGGATAGTCACTTTGCGTTCTGGTTCACTGGTAATCTTTCTGCCTCACTTCACCGATTTAATTCGATGGCAGTGTGCTCATTTGTTACTGTTAAAAGTCAGTGAAATTTTTAAGACTCCCTTAATTTTAATACTGAAGGTAATAAAGTCACAGAGCGAGAAGGTTTTCTTTTTAAAAAAAATGACAAATCCCTGAACCTTTGAGAAATAGCTGTGTTCATGGACGAATGATCTGACATTTTAACGCACTTGCTCAGAGTCAATAGATATGTTGCCATTTACAAATGTGTGTACTGACCTTTGCTGTCAAAAAATTCCAACATTTTGTGCATAAAGATCAATTCGATTGTCTTCTTACATACATCATAATCATTTGGACCTTTACCTTAGTACCGCAACTTTTTACGGCTCAGTGAGTTGCAAATGAGATTTAAGCAACATCACTCACAAAATGTCAGGAAGCATCACAGCGATGAACGAGTGAGATTTCAGGTGAAGATTGTACATTGTATATGTACAGCAACAAAAAGTGCATTAAGAGGCAACAACACAGAAAAAAAAAAAAAAATATTTTAACAGAGTGATTACAATAGCACAAAATGTAGAAAAGGGCACAAAACAGCAACAATTTTAATGTTGATGTTTAACTTTCCAGAAAGTCATGATGTCAAACACATTCATATTTCAATGAGTAATCAAAATCTCATCATATGGTTATAACCAAAATTTAAACACATGGTTTACCACACAAAAAAAGTCTATCAAAAACATGTGAATATGCTTTCTCCTTTCTTGAGCAATCAAGCTTATCAGTTAAGGAGGATAATGAATGGACTCCTAGGGAGTTTCAGAATGGATAATCAAAAATGCAAGTTTCAGCCCAACGGTTATGGCCTTCAAACAAGCAAATAAGATGAGATACAACTCTTCGTGACCTAAATGTATGTAATTAAGAATGAGTACATGCATCTGAGTGAATGAAACTTTGGAAAGTTGGGTAACGTTTTACCTTTCTTAACTGCACGTCCTGTGATTCGTGCCTTTGCCTTGGAGAGGATAGAGGACGTGAAAGAGAAAGTTGGCTTGAGAGATCTTGGCGACGGGGTCCCGGTAGCTTGTGATTGAGAGTTCAGTCTCTTTAATGGATGCTCTTGGATCTCGGATGCTGGTACCCTGTTAATTGCCTGGTAACCGCCATCACTCATGGTGGAGAGCGCAGGGCTCGGCGGTACACCGCTACTGATATCCAAGCTCCAACTGTCAATGTTTAGACAGTCCATTCCTTGCGGCCTCTGGAACGGGGAGTTTGAGGCTGCAGGAGGCTGGTTGGGGGTAACGGCAGAGCTTAGCGATTCTACACCGGATGGCGTGTGGGTGGAAGTGGATCGGGCGTTCTCGTCGCAGCCGTCAAACTCCCAGATGTCCTCCCCTACCATGTTGCCCCCCTCGGGGCCGAATATGGACATGGCATGGCCGAACCCGATTGGCCGCATGGGGATATGTTCGTCTTGGGATGTTGGGGATGGATTAGAAGAGGTAGAAGCTGATATGGTACTAGCTGCATCTGTATGATCCAGGCCACGGAGACGAACCCGAGGGGAGGGCGACCGAGACATTGAGGACACTGTCCCTAAACTGGATGAATCCAACCTATTTCGGAATGCATAGTTGGAAACAGTAGCCCCGTAGGGCTGGTATCGATCCCCGAGGAGTACAGTGGAGACGTTGTTTGGAGCGTCCAGAGAATCAATTCTGACCATCGGTGGAATAGCTTTGGTGGTGGACACCCCTTGCGACACTTTCCTCTTTTGTCCGTTGTTGTTGTTGGAGCAGAGTCCGTTCTCTTTGCCGTTCATTAGTCTGAGCATAACGTCGTCGCCGTTTTCTGGAGAGTTGCTCTGGGAGGTTTCTGGGTTGGAGTCGACACCCTGAGTAATGCAGTAGTAGTTGGATGAGACCTGATCCTCCCTGCTTCGTCCCACGTTCTTATTCCCTTCGGAATTCTCGGATAGCTTCTGTAATTCATGAAGCTTCTCCTCTAGCCATGCGAGGTGTTGCTGTACAGCTAGTATCTGCCCTTCGGTGCTGGCCCTGGGGGGACCGACGCCGCCACACCCCCTGGGATTCAGGTGTCTCATACCAATGTCCGTGTTGCCGACAAGATCCTGACCGTTGGTTCTCTCAGTCAGCACCGAACCTTGCGTAGCACCTTGGACCCAGGCTGAGGTTCCAATGCACGGCTCAGAGCGGGTAAGCGTCCGAACCGGTCGGCCTGGTATCTTTCTCCTCTGTGAGGCTTTTGGCACCGTGTCCATCCCTATCGACACCGGTACCTCCATGTCCAGCACGCCCTGTCTTGAGCAGATTTGCGCCATCTGGTCTCACACAATTACCGCATCGATCCAAATCCCATGATCGCTTACTCATCCAAGTAAAAAATTTACATCGATAATATCTTGCACCGATTGGCGATCCAATTAAGCAAACGTACTCTCAGTTCAATACGACTCATACACCAACATTGCTGATGACAAGTAATCCGGGGCTGTAAACATCAATTGGATCAGCTCCAAAAAGCTAACTGTAGCACGAATGTTGACTGCGACATAATTATTGGCTCGTGGCAATCACAACTCTCCTTGTACAGGAAGCTACTCTGATTACTCTACGTCGCCCACAACAAATAATCCGAGGGTAAATGTGGGTCGGCAGCAGGACAGTGACCACAGGAAACAATTCTTAGTAATTGTCCAGTACGGCACATCTCCCTCTCTATCTACCGGTACTTATTGCAGGAATAGCATCCATGCATATCCATAGCGATGATAGTAATGAGGTAACGATGACGATAACGTTGGGTCAAGGTCCAAGTCCGGTCAACATGACTCACTCAACTCCTCTTCTGTTTCACCCTCGTCTCCTTGATGAATAAGGAATTCAGGTTACTCAAGAAGTACAGACAAAACACGCAAGACGTCCACACGTACACTGACAGGTACAGAGCACAATGCCTGAACGCACTTAGACATTACGGACCAGCGTGCAACAAATACCGCATATGAGTGCCACATGTGTCCATGCATGCAGAGGAGGATGATTAGGCCACTATCTGGCAAGGTGAACATGTAACGGCAAGGCAGGTGTTATGAGAGGGGTCACACTTTAAGATGGAGTGGAAAGGGGGAAGAGTAAACACACATACAGAAGACACAAGGGAAGCACTGGTACTCTGTTGGGATTGGACATGATAAATACGTAATGAATTATGATCCTTGGTGATTAATGTATGGCATATCGAGCAGGTCTGCCACTGTGTTTTGATAAAACTGTCCATGCTAATTAGTTGATAATTTAGTTTTATTACAGACTGCAAATAATTTTTACTGAGTTCAACTACATACAAGTGAACTTAAATTCATATGTAAAAGCACATCAATGATCTGATAATTTATAAAATTAAAACTTGACAGGGAATCAGAACAATAGTGCGATGAAAATTGAGTAGTGTTTTTTTTTTGTAGCTAAGCATTTTCAAATAAACGTACATGAATGTACACAGTACATGAAGTGTACATTCAAATCGGAGAGTTTCGGCAAAGGTCGTAGGAATACGTGATGACGCTGCCTCTGCATACTTAGTAAGTAAATACTTTGATGCACCAAAAGAGAATAAATCCGTATGTCTCCAGGCAAGGACAAACCGAGTCGACCCGATTTCCACACACGGCCCTCATCAATACAAACAGTGAGACAAACGGGAATGAGTTATCGCCAGGAATCTCCCCCAACCTTGTTTGGTATTAAAACACTGATCCTACCACTAATCTCATTTTATACTGGGCCACGATATAAATACCACAATGACAAATGATGATTTGTTCAAATGTCCATTCTAATAAATCAGTTGGACTTTTAAACTTCCTGTCTTCCATGAAAAAAGGCAGTTATTGATTTTAGTGTGTCGTTTATCAGCTATCTTCCGTAGCTGCTAATGGTGACGCTCACCACACTGTTACATGACTGACAAACTCTATTGGCTTGCACTCTTGCATGTGGGTCAGTTTTGTTGTTGAAGCACAGTGTGATCAAGTGATCACTACTGTGGGCCTCGATCGTAACGATCGTGCGTGAGTCATTAATGTATTTTCTTCGCACAGTATCTGCGCATGGTACAAGATTTTTACCTACCGCAGTAGATGACAATAAGGAAACAGAAATTTACTACGGATAATTTAGAAATGATGTCCACTATTGAATGTGTTTATTGCTATTGATGAAAGTATATATGCATACCAACGTGATAGTGCCGTCACAAGAATGTGACAGTCGCCAATTTCTACGGAGCAAACTATTTGGTACAAAGCTTTGTTTAACATGAAGGAAATTGCAGAGTCTGTCAACAGAAGGCTAACTTCCCCGCTTTGTTTATTTATTGTCAAGTTCCGATGTTTTGGAGGCCCATCTTAGGAATGTCAGTATTTCACGTCCAATCTTGCGCTTGCCTAGAAATCAAAGATGTGACAACGGAGTTGTTTTCATTTCTGTTTTGACAGATTATATTATAACCTTGCAGCTACCAATCCCATAATTGCGGCATCTCTGGATCGCCCATAGTCGGTTGCAAGTCTTGTTTTACAAAGGGCCCTCTGTTGATTTCAATTTGAATAGGCAGGCAAAAATTGGCTGCAAATAACTAGGCAAAAAATGTGAAAAAAAAACCTACATGATTCTGATTATTACTAACATTGATGAGGTTGAACATTTAAAGAAACAAACTGCCCCTTGCACAGAGGTGAATTGCACTAATGTACAATGTAGAAAAAAAGATGTACTTTTTTGGAGGGAAAATACAAAATCAAAGAAGGAAGTAAAAACGGTATGGAATTTTCAACTCTTGAACATATGTTAGTGTGCCTGAGTAGAATGCAGAGTTGCACAGTATATTGTGCAGGTCTATTACCGTTGTGATTTGAAATGTCTTAGAATATGCAAATGATGATGGAGCAGCAGCTATAGCTATTACTGAGCCTGTCAGGTAGAGTCCATAGCAGGGTCAAGTGTTTGAGGCAGGATGAATGGACCATGAATATGAAGATTAACATAGTGTAGGTGCTGTGACCCATTCAGCTGAACAGTAAGACAAGACTCAAACATATAAAAGCTTTCATTTAAATTCTTTCTGATAATTTCAGGGGGAAAAAACAGCTCATTGATGAATGAATTGATATCGTTGATTGTATTCCCTGTTCAAAAAAGAGAACCTATTTAAAGAGGGAAGGCAAAGATTTTCCTAATATGAATGGGAAAGAGGACAATTGTAATTTTATTTTCATACTTGGAAAATGTCTTGATTGCATCTTCCTTTTTGTCTGGGACTGTGAAAGTTTTTTTAGATGTTGATTTTGCCGTTGTTTTACTTTAGCTTATAGTGCATGTTTGTGGTTTGCTTTATGATTTTTTATCACACTTCTGTATTTAATATCATCTCTTTTTTTTTTTAATTTGTAGAAACTAAGTTGCAATGTTATAATTCTACGAAAGAGTGGAGTCTGGTGAGAGTGGAGAGATTTTACTGCCGCGGCTTTTGATACTGATTTGCCACAGTACATGAAAATATCATTTTAGTCGCAGTCCAAAATGTACTATGACACGGCAAACTCCGAATAAGTGTATTGTACATGTACATGTATCTTACTTACAGAACGTAGAATAATTATATGGGCAGCTTTCTACTTTAGCTAATTGCATACATCTACGTACTGTAATTGATCAGTAAACCACTCAATATCCTGCTACATATTTAACAGTGCCATTGCAAATGGAAAGAAGGGACAGGATGGTATACAAAATGAAAGTGAGCTACAAATACGCCAGTGTGGTATTAAGCTGTGATATAATGACGTCACGCTTTGTTTACATGTGCGCTTTCTTAATGGCAGCTTGATGGCTTTCATCCCTACTTGGCTCCCATAAGAAAGCGCATACATGTATGTAAACGAAGTGTGACATTACAATGTTTCAAACCTATTGTACAAATGAGTGCACACATTTTTTACTTCTTTTTTTTTTCACTTCACTGTGAAAAATCTGTCAAAAAAACGCAAACCATTAGGGTTCCAACCAAATTGAGTTTCTTTTTCCCAATTAGTAACACATTTTCAAAAAATGTTGTGATTTGAAGTAGGGTATTGCGAATCGTATATTTCCTTTATTTTAATTGCATAAGAAATAGCAGAAAGCAGATTGGTTTCTTTTTTGCCCAAGGAAATTTGTGTATTATCTAGTGTTGTTATCCAACAATGAAAATTGTCGAATGTTCTGTGTCACTTGTACACTGACTTATTAATTAAACAACTTGATGATTCTTCATATTCAACGTCAAATCCAAGCCAGATCATTCCTCAATCTTTTCACCCACGAGAAATGTTGAAAAATCCCCAAACCCGCCCTGTTTATTTTACTCTAATAGCAAACATACCTACGAGGTTCACATTCAATAAAAAATCCCCCGCTCCCGACAAAAAAAAATTTGAATAGAGTCAAGCAGCATCAATGTTGCCTGGGGAATCCACCCACTTAAGTGTTCTCTAGTATCCATCCTGGAAGTATCCACTTCCTCTACGCATTATTAATGCCACTGCCACAAACCCCTAGCGACTGGTAATGTAATGTGAGAGTCATGAGAGGGGAAAGTTGGGTACATTGTTCACTTTGCGGATTAATCTTTTAAAGGCAAGATCATTTGCATTTTAATAGCTCAAAGTAACATACCGAATTATTATCAACAAATTTACTCGGATAAGATATCATACTGGTACTAAACACCCAAGATTATTCTGGCTTGCTGTCTTGTAGATGAAATCAAGAAAGGTAGGTGAATTCCAACGATCAGTCAAATTGACAGATTTTTAAGTAAGATTTGGAACTTTCTATGGTGGTGGTATGAACTAGTAAAAGTTTGCGGTAACACCATGTGGAAATATCTTTTGGAAAGATGTGTGATTCTGAAAAGACCGGTGGGTTGTAAAACTTGAGATTCCGATCAGTATGTTCTGATCGTCTTCAGAAGACTGATTTTTTGATATAAAGAGTGCTGTTGACAAAATCATGTTTCATGATCAAAAGGTTTTCTTATTCAACCTAACATGTACTTTGCTTATAAAGTGGAGACAAATTTTTCATTTAGGTTCATTTGATTTTGAAAACCATTTTTTTTAATACAGTTTAAACGCAAGATCATCTTTTTAGATTTGTAGTACCTTTTAACATCTGTATTTCCTGATTTTTTTTTTTTTTTTTTTACAGTGTACTTTGTTTTGTTTGTTTGTTTGGGTTTTTTTGTTTACATTTTACAATCTATTTGAAGACTGCTGACAAAGATTTTGGACAGTACATGTATACGCAATGTGATGGATAATGAAAAAGAAACTTAATTGAGGTCACAATTTGGTTCATCTTGCAAATGTCATTAGTTATTCATACCGGGGTAGCAGCACATAGACAAATTGGCAAGGGAGAGGGAGGGGGAGGGAGGGAGGGTTTGGCGAATGGAAAACAGACCCAACGACAAAAACATTTTGGACAGTACATGTATGTAATGTGATGGATGATTTTAAAGAAACTTAATTGAGGTCACGAGTAGTTCACCTTGCAAATCTTATTAGTTATTCATGGCAGCACATAGACAAATTGGCAAGGGAAATGGAGGGAGTTGGCGAATGGAAAACAGACCCAACGACAAAGCATGCAACATCACGAGCCAGGCAAACCTGTGTCAATCTCGCTTCAAGTACACAGCTGAGACGCTGCTTTCTAAAAGGAACTCTTGGTAAATTACTAAGCTGTGCTAAGGCGTACCACCAGTAGAAAGAGCAGAAAAATGGGGGGGGGGGGGGAATGTTGACGTAAGGGCATTAGTGC